TCTCTCTCTCTCTCTCTCTCTCTCTCTCTCTCTCTCTCTCTCTCTCTCTCTTTTATAGATAACGTCACCTGGTCTGAATGTAGAACTTTCGTGCTTCACGTCTTTTCGATTTTGCTCTTTAAATTCTTTTTAACATATTGTCATTTAACAAAAGTCACGACCTTGGAATTTTCCGCAATTTCAGACAGTGCAAGGTGAAAACAACTCGCAAAAACTCGGGTTTCTCACTGCAACCCAGTGCCTCTAAAAAGTTAAAAAAAACCCACAAAAATAAACCAACAAAAAACAACCCCCCCCCCCAAAAAAAAGAAGAAAAACCAGAGCTGAAGACAAACGTTCACAAAGACTTTTCTTTGTAAAGAATTAGGCTATTGTTTTCATGTGAAATTATATCCTAAGACATGAAATAAGTTTATTACAAAACAGAAATACATTTTGAAACTAGAGATTTATCAGTACACAAGAAATCCAGGTCAAGAAATCTGAGTATCGATTGATCCCTCTTCAATCTGCATTATTCAGCTCTCCAAAGGAACTTATCCGAATTATACAACATTCGAAGTAAGAAAAGGCGCTAGATTTTTAACCACAATGTAAGAATGATTTTCAATGACTTAACGCTTTGTTTTGTTTGTTCACGTGACATTTTAAAAAAGTGTAGTCCTCATAGCTCCTTCACTTAACCATAATAATGATCTATTGCATAAGGGGAAAGAGTGCAAAGCTGTACATAATATCTCATTTCCGTTCCGCTCGGACGTATTTAGAGGGGCGAAAAGAATAAAATAAGGTCGTTCAATAAGCAAAAACATAGAACAATAGAACACAGAGATTATCAAAATAGAAAAAAAAATAACGTAAGAGATTGTTCTTCAAATATCGCATTTCGGGAAACACTAATAATGTGTTTAAAAAATAAGCTGTTGTTAATCAATTCAGGAACTAGCATCAACCTCAACCATACGGAAACACATTTTAATTATTCAGAATCTTGTGTAAGCTGATTGGAAAATTAATAAATTGAGTTAAAGTATATTATGGAATAAAATTGCGAATAAGCGAATTGATTTTACTTGAATTCTCCTGAAGGAGATTAGCAGGTGATCGTCTATAGGCAATATTTACAAAGGCTTCCACTTTCAGCTTACACAGGCTTATATATTTGACCTTTAATGCAGATCAGAAAAAACTTGATAATAAACTGAAGTTGAAATGTCGGGTGCGGGTATATTCTTTTGATGGCCATTAATTCTAAACATGCTGAATTTGAAAAAAGAAATGACTCCAATCAGTCGTGTGAGCAAAAGGGATGCAGTGGATTAAAGGACAGACAGATAAGACCGACGCAAAATCAGAGGGCAGGCTTATGGCCAAGACGAGACTTGGACAAAGATAATTTTTAGGTTACAAATCAAAAGACGAACACACAGTTGTAGAGCGGTAAACTCGAAGATGGCTACAAACGTTGAGGGACACATTCATCCTTGAAGTCAGTGTGGTGACCTAAACAAACTAACAAATCATCTGAAATATCATTTGAGTGGTTGGCAGCAGGTGTTCTGATGTGGTTTGCTCCTTCTTTCCTATCAAACATCTATTGTCCATACATTTCTTTTTTTTTTGTCAGGACTCGTTATAAGTAGACTTCACTGTACTTTCTTGTAACAACTCTAATCTTCCGCACTTATATGACGTAAGTGGGTTGCATGTGCCGTAAAACTCTTACTAAAACTAAAATACTGTTGAAATAACATCGCTCTTCTCTCTGCAAACAGAATTGGTGTTTTAGATTTTCTGCCACACAATTTCAGTTATAGTGGAACAAATTCCATTTCTGACCAAACAAAACAAAAATGTTCTATACAGTGAAAAGGGTAGGTATGAATAGATAATGAATCTGAAAGGTGTTTTTTT